CCTTCACTATTTTGTACTTTTTGGCAACATTTCGGTCCTGTTAAAAAATGTAATACTTCTATGTGAACATATCTCCGGTATACGCTCAAAATCGGAAACGGAATAGCCTATCTCGGTCGCGGGCAGTGTGAAAAAAAAACTGGCCCAATGGGACCTCTGGAGTTCCAGACGGAAAGATGGCGACGAATCCGGGTGCGTCAAAAAGGAGATGAATATCTTTCAGAACCAAAAAGGTTTTTGAAAGGTGATTTCGATCGTTTCTCCCCGAGACGTCTCCGGAAGATAGCAACACATGCGGAACTTTTCGTGTTGGATGGCAGAGATATTCTGTACCGACTGGCGCAGTCGACCAAAGAACGACATCTGGACATGGAATCCGAGCTACGACTAGCCGTACGGACTTCGCTTCGAGAAGACATACTACATTTTTGCACACGAAGATTATCACGGCAGACACCAGGGTATCAAGAGGACCCATAAGAAACTCCGGACGGAGTTTTACTGGCCCAATATGTATGCTGACGTTGAACGCTGTGGAAGAATGTGTAGACTGTGCAAGCTGAAAGGGACGACCAGTCCTTCGCCCGGAAACATCGAGTCAGTTTATCCTTTCGAAGTTCTTTCGATGGATTTCGTGACTCATCTTCCACAGTCCGAGCAAGGAAATACCTTCTTGCTTCTCTTCCAAGTCATCTTTTCCGGATTTGTGATGTGTAAGCCGATGGGTTCGACTACGGCACAAGAAGTGACGGAAGCGTACGAAGAAACAGTTTTTCGACGGTTCGAAGCGAGCTCCCTTCTGAGACACAATCAGAATCCGAGATTCATGTCTGAGGTGTTCACTCGTTTCAGAGAGCTGTTGGGGAGCCGACAACGTGCAACGTTGGGTTGTCGCCCCCAAGCAAAGGTCAGCACGATAGATCTGTCCAGACGGTGATACGTTCCATCCGGGCATACGTTGCTGAAGCTGATCAAAGTGACTGGGATAACCACGCCAAGTGATTGATATTCGCGTTGAATACGTCGTTTGACAATTCTCGACTGGACACTCCTTTCTACCTAGTACATGGGTGGGACGCAAGGAATACGATCTCGGCTACGTTGGACCCGAAACCGACCAACCTCTCCGAACGGCAGCATTTGAGTAGCGTCGCAAATTTCAAAGGGACTACGAATATGCACAGACCTGTGCGGAGAGACTCCAAAAGGAGGCTAAAAATTATGATCAGAAGTCGAGACGATGAAATGGTGCGAGTTGCCCGAACGGATAAAATCGGGTTTTCAAACCGCGACCCAGTTTGGTTATACATTCCGAAAGTGCAACCCGAGCTCATACGTGGCATGGACCCTTTCGAATCGCGGATGTCCACGATAATTTCGAGTCAAGTTGAAGATCGAAGATACTGGATACCGCGTGAACCCTTGGGTGCAAATCAGTCGTTTGAAACCGCGTGCCCTATTTCCGAAACGACCTACTATCATGATCGAAATTTCGGAAAGCGAAGATTTCGATGCAGCTCTCCTTCCGGATGATAGTTGGGCGTCTGATCAGTACGAAGTGAAATTTTTTGGATCTGAGATGGACCAAACGGACGCGCACTTCCAAACAAAGACACGAATACCTGATCAAGTGGAAAGGATATGACGATCCGGAATGGCTACCCACCTCTCAACTAAGCTGCGGTGCCCTTTGGTATGAATTCAACCAAGGAGCCCTGCTCGAGCCGCCAAGCCATGCAGGCCGGAGCCGATCATCCGTCGGTGTAACTTTCGTAACGGAGTGCACCGAACGAAGTCAGACCGATATGATTACCGACTCGATTGAAATTGCTTTGAAAATTGGTTACAAATTGCGAATTTGACTACGACCTGAGGACTCGTGTGGAAATGGCTTGCCTATATTTAAGGAGATGTCGAAAATGCTCCAAGGATTTTGATCATTTTCGTCGGAAGATTGTTCGATTTTGAACAATTACTCCGAAGGAAGTAAACTCCGAATAAGGGGCCAAGAAGAAGGAACGCTGTGTATGACATGTAAAATGTGAAATGTTATTCATGATTAACCCCGCAGAAAATACTCAAGAAGAGTTCCGTACCCAGAACTCGACTGTTGTGATCTCCTCGCGAAGACCTGCAGGAATGAGCGTCGGGCGTTTCGCCTTCGGAATATGCTGAATGTGCGCCTCTCCGTCTGGAAGACAAGGCCACTGTGCACGCGCTGGCTCACGGTCGTCCAGAATGGCGAGTTGTTCTTTCCAAGAATAAGGCCGGTTTGTCCCCGGTACATGTGTATCAGGACTCATCAAGACCCACGGACACAAGCGAGACGAATACTTGATGAACCCAGGTTCCAGAATGATAGTCTCTGGAAGGCCAGCATCCTTGAGCTGTTTCATCTGTGTCTTTATGCCCTGCTTCATGGAATCATGACGACGATCGTGATCCGTATGGAGGAGTCGTCCGGTCGAATCATCAATCGTTTTCACAGTATACCAGTGAGCTCCCTCCCAAACTTCACGCAAGTGAGCATGAATAAACCGAAAGTACTCGTCAAACTGGTGACGACCCCGGTCTGGGAATGCCGAACGTTTGTGGAAGAAGAGGGCTCTCGTCCGGCCTGCCCAGATATCATTCCATGGCTCCACACGGACAAAACGTGCGTACGTCCAGAGACTCCCAACGCTGGCGTAAATCTTGCAATCCGGAGGGAGTGGTACGTAGTCAGGAAACCCAAACGTTTGGGACTTGATCTTCGCCGACGTCCGACTCCAAGTTAGGTGCACTCCGAACTGACGCCACGAAGTACTGCCCGTCACCGGAATCTCGAACTCAGCGATCTCTCCGGAAGTCAGATCTTCGTAGGACTTGGCTGCAAGCCGATATTTCCGAGCCGAGCTAGCCCGTTTTGTCTCAATTCCAGAGGAGGAGGCATCCAAACGGCGTCGCTTGCCGGGAGATTTACGAGGAGATTTCAAAGAAATGTGGACAGGAGGTGTTTCTTCTTCATCTGAAGATTCGCGATCATCATCGCCGGCATCTTCGAAATCGGCATTTATTTGTGTATCGTCGACTTCATCCTCGTCATCCAAAATCTCAATGTCGACGCCTCCAACACGTCCGGAATGAGGGACGGCCACTTTTCCGGAATGAAGCCTTGCTCGAAATTGTTCTCCAACGCAATCCCCGCCGACAGGAAGTAGCGTTCAAGGACGTGTCGCGGCCAGAAAACCTAGTCCAGTTTGTGCCACTACATCACGAGGGCCAAGATAGCAAACAAGTCGTACTCCTGGAAATAGGGATGTGCCGGCTTATCCCGCTGAAGCCACTTCATTGCGTCACTGTAGGAGCATCCGTGCTTCATCATGAGACTGACGTCCCGACGTACTTCCTTCCAAAGAACACCCTGGTCCAGAAACTTTACCCGTGCCTTCTCCTCGATATATGGATTCATATTTTGTAAGAAATCGAAAATTCGGAGAATTCCGGAAATTAGTTGGACCTACCCTAGAAATAATCGATTGATCAAAATACGAAATGATGGGCTTGAAGGCAAAAGTATTGGCTGGATCTTACGTAAAGTCTATAATAGGGTTCGGGTGTCCGGCATACTACCTCTTATCTATATAATATGTACATTGTCTGTGTGTGTAGTCACGCTGAGGGGGACATATGATTGGCTGGTAAATTTGTTTGAAATCAGTATAGTTTTCGTACCGCGGGTAATAAAGTCGCAGTGTGTGTACTATATTCCATACAAACCTGTGTACATCACAATATAACATTCAATCGTAAAATTCTAAAAGGTCTAAAAGGTCTAATTAGGGCAGGCCTTCTTACAATTAATACGTTTTCGCGAGTGCCGGTATTAAGCGAAGTTGTCGCTGCGGATTTTACTATACAAGAAGGTGAAACAAAACGTAGATGAAAGCTCATCAGCTACGAAACTCTGTTTTAACCTCTTATGCTAAAAATAACAAGATATGCGCTGAACAAGATAGAATAACATTGTGACCCTTACATTGATATTGTGCTATTGCTCCATATAGACACAATATGACAAGAAACATAAACCAGGACCCTAAAATCTTAGGTGACCTTCGGATTAGATGGAAAAATCCCACGCATAGATGTACGTGCAGCTTCATTTAGAAGGATAGTTATAGTTAAGTGTGCTCAGTTCTATTTTTCAGTACTGTGTCATGAACAATGTATGTGCATGCCACCATTATAAATTAATATTAAATTGAAGTGCAACTTTTAATTTACTATTCACTATTGATTTATTCTTCATTGATGCGGCTAGTGGTAATCTCACTTAAATTTGTCCATTCACAACAGACCAAACCACTGTTTAGTATAATGTACACGACGCTTTTTTCCAAGCAACCTTTTTCGTAGGACAAATTCTATTTTACTAGAAGTTTGTTTAACACGGATTTTACCTCTACACTACCTGAAGTGTCAACACTGACACGCTGAATCTGCTGACGATATACATGTAACGGAGTGTATAGTCTTCGTTAATGCTTGTGTACCGATGTAGTTACCCAAGTGTAAGCTGTGATTACAGAACGGCCATGTTTAAGGACAAAATAAGTGGACACAATTAAGAGCCCCTTTGGTAGTCTAGCCCGTACGTCATGTTTTTAATTCACTCTTCATGTATTCCTACGAGGTGCTAGTCTATCCGTCACATGGTAGCCCTTGTCGTGTCCAAGCATTAAGCTTGTCAGTTTCCCGGGCCTTCGAGCCCAGTACTAGCACTTTGTCGAGTCCAAGTGTCGTCTTGCACAAGTCTGAGAAGGAACACGTTGAAGAACTACCAGACAAAACATTCAATTTTATGAATCAAACCATTCTTCCTCTGCAAACCGCCTCAGTGGAAACGTCTTCTTCTAAAAGGAGGTCGTGTAAAGGAGTGTATAGTCTCCGTTAATGCTTGTGTACCGATGTGGTTACACAAGTGTAAGCTGTGATTACGGGACGGCCCAGTCTCCGATGTTTACGGACAAAATGAGTGGACACAATTAAGAGCCCTGGTTGGTAGTCTAGCCCGTAAGTCATGTTTTTCATTCACTCTTCATGTATCTCTACGAGGTGCTAGTCTAATCGCCACAATACACCATATTCAGATCACACCAAACAGATATTTTTGTCCTTCAAGCTAGGACAAATCTGAAATCTGATATGTTTAGAGACCTGTGTGAAGACGCTTTACTGTTAGCAAAGGCAAAGTAGGACAACACAATTCCTCGCCACAACGGAACGAGGAAGTATCTGTCTTACTGTTCATACCCCCAAAATATCGTAATTATCAACATCGTTGCCAAGATATCCCAGCAAAATTTATTTCTACATTTTGTCCTGTAAGCGGGCTAAGTGGGGATAATAGCGGTAGCGGGTAATACAGTTTCCCGACATAGAGTGCTGCGCCGTTTTGCGGCGCAGCCAACTCGTTCGTCCTACAGTATTACGCGCGTGGCTCACCACAGGCGGGGGCTCAATTGAAGCGCAACAAGGACTTTCCAGCTATGTCGCAGACGCTCTAGTATCATATAGATTATATGTCACTTGAAAAGTCATTATTGGGGTTTTCCGGACGCCAATCCTGATCTAAGCTTAATGTAACCACATTTGAGACAACGGCAAATAATATGTTACTAATGAACCAAAGTACGAATCTCAATTTAGGTAGATGGCTCGAAAGAGGAGTGTCTCCTATTTCATTTAAGCACCCCTGAGCTTCTGGTACGCAGATTCGACTGAGATCGAGTCCGTTAAAAATATGTTCTGGTTCAGCCCAAAATATCGAAACCATATGTGAAGATCAGGTGTTAAACGTGATGGGGAATCCGCTCATGCTCTCCGTTTTAGCTAAATATGTCTCTAGTCATGTTAAAAGTTTACTTTTGTTTGGCCATTTCAAATCATCTAGGGTATATTTTTGAATTATTTTCAAAATTTTGAGATTTGGAGGTAGGTAACATTTTGATTGGGACACGGACATAAGTACCCGAAGTTACCCACATGTCCGCAACTTTATGGTTGGCAACTTTATGGTTCCTCACCAGTCGGGCAGCGCTTGGTTTCACCTTCTTGACCTTCTGCAGCGTATTTGGGCAGCAGGTTGCTTTATCTCTATCTTCTT